TCTGCAGGAAAAAGATGAGGCTTTCTGTTCCCGTAAAGATTTATAGCCTCAAAAGCCCTGTACAGGGTCGCTATGGGTCGGAACTGACTCAATGGCACACAACAACAACAACAACAACAATTCCTACTCTGCTATTATACAGCTCTGAACCAACAAGGAAGGGTCTTATGACATGACACCTATCATGCTTTATGGATGTGAGAAATAGCTTTAAAAAATGTGTTACTCCAACACTATTATAATCACACTGCCCCCTACATACACCATACGCCTTTCCAAAATGGTGGACTCTCCTACCTATCAGGTTGTCCCACCTTGCAAACAGGTTAAAGTGTGATAAGGCAACTGGAGAGTGAAGCAAAGAATATATCTGCTGAAGTATTTCCTGAGGCTAAGACAGGATGAAGATACCAGCAGAGACCTTTGGAAATATATTTGGAGCATTCCAGTTTTGAAAATCAGGCATATTATTAGAAGATGTCATTGAGAGTCATACTTACAGTGAGTAATGTCAGGTGGACCATATGGATCAGTCATATAAATTGTGGTGGGTTTTCCAACTTTTAGATAAACTACATCTGATGTGTTCTTCAGTATTGCTACTGCCTCTTCATGTGTTACTTCTTCTAAACTATAATTGTTTACCTGAAAGGAAAAGACAAAAAGGTGGTGTCAGAGTTAATTCCATGTAACTGAAGAGAAATAAACTAGAATATATTTGGAATTATAAACTTATTTAAAGGTTAAACTGCAATGATTACAGTCCAGAATTTATCTGATACATGATTGAATAGTTGGGATGATGGCATTAACAAACACAGGTTAAGATATGGCCACTGATGCTATCCAACAAGGTTCCTTCTTGCTTTCTTTATTATAAGAAGGCCATGGAAATCAGAGGATTTGTCATAGAAAAAGGATATGAAAGGTTGAGTGTTTTTCTTATTTTGCCATAGTGTGTGTGTGTGTGTGTTTGTGTGTGTGTGTGTGAGTGTGATTACTGAAGTAAAATAAATACTTGAAAAAAAAAGAAAAAATGTCAGAAAATCAAAATTACCCAAAATCTCCCTAGTTAGATGTAGAGAAATAGATAAGGGAGTTTCAAAAATTTCATGAATAAAATGAAATGAAAAGATAATGGAGTATTTCCACAAACTTTTTGAAGCCTTCTCATAATTAGATAGATAAACAGACTGACAGACACAAACACAGGCAAACCCATATACCCAGGGCTTCAAAAATGGAATTAAAAAATAATAAAAAGCTTTCCATAAATTATTTTAAGTCCCTTCATATATATTGTTTCTTCGTAAATAAATAATTTTTCTTTGCAGGACTGTGACCCTATCATGCACATTGCTTTGGAACTTGCTTTTAAAATCTGCAGTGATCATTTGTCCAGATCATTAATGTACTACAACAACATGACTTCTGTGTTCCACTGAGAATTACGCTGCATGGCTAAAAGTTTTTGACTTATCTCTTCTTGTGCATGTTCATTGTGCTTCTGATGTTTTTGCTATTATAAATAATGCTTTAATGACCCTTTCCTATATTGGTATGCAATTTGGTGACTTCTTCTGGATAGATTTATACAAGTGGAATTGCTGGGTAAAACTATTATAAAAGTTTCCAATATCTATCCCCAAAGTGCCCTCTGGAAACATAAATTGATTTACCCTCAAGTTTGAACTACCATGAGAACACCCATTTCCACATTAAATGCATCCTGATTCTATCACTCAAAAAACCTTTCCTATTATACCAATAGAGTCTATTTTTCAAGGAAAGAGTACTAATGTTGGAATATAAGGTTTCTCATGTAAGTAGGGTCAAGAAGACCATTTTGCCACTAAAAAAATAACAATTTTATTTATTTTGTTGTTGAAAACATACACAGCAAACATATCCTAATTCAACAGTTTCTACACATACCACTGAGCAATAGTAATTACACTGAGTTGTGTAACCATTCTCACGCTCCTTTACTGAGTCCTGCCACCCCCATTAGCACAGATTCACTGCTCCCTAAACATCCCAGCTAATCTTTTGAGTTGCTGTTTTCAATGTGATCCCATATCAAAAGTTCTTAAAAGACCATAATGTTCAAAGCAGAATTTGATCTTAAAAAAAAAAAAAAACTAGCATTAAACTATAGTATCATTTGGCTTTAAGACAAATTCAAGGGACATTTTTGGTTTAAGGCTTAAAGATGATCTCAGGGCAATAGTTTCAGGGGTTCATCCAAACTTTCTTGACTCCGCAGAGCCTAGATTGAGTCCATGAACATCTGCAATTCTTTTTTGTGTTTTCCCCGTTTTGATCAGGATTCTTCTATGAAATCTTTAATCAAAACATTCATTAATGGTTACTGGGCAACCCCCATTTCTTGTCTTATGGCAAAGGAGGCAGTTGGTCATAAAGGCATTAGCCAAATAGCCCATATACTCCCCTTCTATTCCTGATTCTCCTTTTTGTGTTGTTCCAAGCAGAGTCCAACATCTTTGCCATGAATGGTTTTATTTGAAAGCTTTTTAAGGTTCCAGGCACTATGCCAATGAAAAACAGGTAGAACAGAGCACTAACCAAGTTATTAGGGCATTTAACTGGGATGTCCCATGAAACCATGACTCTAAACCTTCAAACCAAATTCCATGAGGTGTTTGTTTAGCAATTGTTCATTGTGCTTCTAATGTTCATCAACAATCATTGTAATGTTTTACAGGTGTACAACTTAATGACAGTAACTGTAATATTGTCATTGGCTTTAATAATTGTTGTTGTTGGGTGCTGTCCAGTCAGTTCCAACTCATGGCCACCATGACAGAATGAAGCACTGCCCGTTCCTGCACCATCCTCATCATTTTGATGCTTGAGCCCATGGCTGCTGTCACTATGCTAATTCATCATCCTTTGTCTCATTGACGCTTCACTTAATCAAGCACAATGCCCTTCTCCAGGCACTGGTTCCTCCTGATAACATGTCTGAACTATGAGACACAAAGTCTTAGCATCCTGGCTTCTAAGGGGCATTCTGGCTATGCTTATTCCAACACAGATTTTTTTTTATTCATCTGGAAATTCATGGTACTTTCAATATTCTTTTCTAACACCATAACTCAAATGCATCAATTCCTCTAAGGTCTTCATTGTTCATTGTCCAACTTTCACATGTGTGTCAGGCTATTGAAAGTACTATGGCTTAGGTCAGGTGCAACTTAGTCCTCAAGATGGTATCTTTAGTTTGCTCTTGAACACTTTGAAGAGGTCTTGTGAAGCAAATTTGCCTAATGTAATATATGTCATTTGATTTCTTGACTGCTGCTTGAATGAGCATTGATTGTAGATCTGAGAAAAATGAAGTCTTTGACAACTTTAAGTTTTTCTCCATTTATCATAATGTTATTTATTGGTCCAGTTGTGTGTGTTTTCTTTACATTGAGGTGTAATCCATACTGAAGGATTTTGAAAACAATTACCCTATCTTTATTGCAAAGAGAAGCCTGTGACTCAAGTGTAGTTCTTAGTTTATTGCAATGTCATTACAATGGCTTTCTGAAATACTTCTCTGAAATAATTTTAAGTTAATATCTTTGATGAAATGAGAATAAATATTCAGGAAATATTTTGATTTTGAAGGCTAGCCATATTTGTGTACTATTTTCTTATGGTGTGATTCTTTAGTTAGTAGAATTAAAATAATGTGCTAAGAGTACTGCATTGAATTAAATAAGTCAATCACAAATTATCATACATATTGTCCACTATTATAAAAATCAAGGAAAGATTTATACACAGAAAGTAACATTCCTTGATGATTACCATGGATGGGAGAGCAAAGGACAATAAATCACTAAGTAAAGAGTAGACATGTACTAACTTGGGTGAAGGAAAAAGCAATATAAGAAGGGAAAGGTCAGAATAACATGGCTAAGGTAAAGGAATACACTGGGCAGTTCACACGAATAAAGGGCAACAGAGATAAATACTCTTACACACACAATCCTGCAATAATACCAAACAATATCTATAAGTAGATACATAGGTAGACATATAAGCTGAATAGATGTGGGACTGTGAATAGTAGTACATTCACAAGTACATATAGGTTTGGTAGAGAGTATTTGTATATGCTGGCAATATATGTTCATAAATATATTTCCAGCATATACAAATACTGTCTACCTATGTATCTACTTGTAGATACTGTTTGTTATTTGTAGAAGATCCTAGACACAGAGAGAGGGAAAAAAACCCTGTAGAACAAAATTCAAAATCATAAAAATGACCAGACATACTGGTCTGACAGACAAGTGGAACCCTCGAGACTATGGCCCTTAAATAGCCTTCAAGCCTGGAACTGAGGATTAACCTCTAGCAGCCAAGTTTAAGCCAAACCATAGACCTGCCTATAAAGTGGACTCCTCAGTACAATCCACTGCATAAAATAAAAAGGACAGCAGTCAGGAAGGGGCAAGAAAGGACAGAACAGAAATGGAGAGGGGGAAAGTATTCTTACATTGAGGGGATTACAACCAATATCATGAAACAAAATCTGTGTAAACTGTTGAATGGACAACTAATTTGCTGTCAACTTTCATCCAAAGGATGGGCATATCTTGCTTTTTAGTGCTTCACAAATACTGAATTTTTCACAAATGAAGGTTTGTGCAACCCTGTGATGAGCAACTTTTTCTGTGCCATTTTTCTAATAGCATGTGCTCACTTCACATCTCTGTGTCAATTTTGGTGACTGTCACAGTGTTTCACTTATTCCTAATTCTGATGTATTACGTATACAATATTATATTATGTATTTTATTGTGGAGGCCTGGTGTGGAGCTGCAGATAATGCACTGGACCACAAGATCAGTTTGAACTGCAAGATCAGTGGTTAAAATCCACCAGTTGCGCCTTGGAAACCCTAAAGGGCTGCTATGAGTCTGTACTTATTCAATGGCACTTAACAACAACTACAACAACAATTGTATAGTTAATAGACTATCCAGTTTCCCACTGTTACCAAGTCATCTCCAACTGATAGAGACCCTATATAGTGTTTCCAAGACTGTAAATATTTTTTTTTTTTTAAACAGGAATTAAAAGAATTTTTAATGATCCATCCAACTTTACAAAAAAATACTAATGGGTGTTCTTTGGACTGAGAACAACAGTTGACAACAACCTGAGATTACCATACATGAGAACACTACCCAGAATGTAATGCAGTTTTAGAAATACTATAAGCACTGGACCACAAGTTCAATTTGAACCACAAAGTCGGTGGTTCAGAGTCACCAACTGCTTCTTGGAAACCCTACACAGGGTCGCTATGAGTTGGAACCGACTGTACGGCACTTAACAACAGCAACAAAGTACAACAAATTTACAAGACTGACAATAGGGAACCAGATATATACATTTATATTAAAGTTAACGACTAAGCAAAAAGAGGGAATAATGTAGATATAGAACTCCCAAATGGTCAGGAAGTCAAGCAGATATCAAGATAATATAGACTGTTTAAGCAGGGAAAAAGAAATGACAGGGCATCCTCACTGAAGACATTGGCAAAAAACAAGGCTCTAGGACTTGACAGAACACAAATAGAAATGTTTCAGCAAACTGATATAGCACTGGAGTTG